ATAAGGCAGTGTGGATGGGTATAAGGCAGTGGGGATGGTTATAAGGCAGCGTGGATGGTTATAAGGCAGTGTGGATGGTTATAAGGCAGTGTGGATGGGTATAAGGCAGTGTGGATGGGTATAAGGCAGTGTGGATGGTTATAAGGCAGTGTGGATGGGTATAAATGGCAGTGTATGGATGGTTTATAAGGCAGTGTGGATGGGTTAAAAGGCAGTGTGGATGGGTATAAGGCAGTGAGGATGGTTATAAGGCAGTGTGGATGGGGTATTAAGGCAGTGATGGATGGTTATAAGGCAGTGTGGATGGGTATAAGGCAGTGTGGATGGTTATAAGGCAGTGTGGATGGGTATAAGGCAGTGTGGATGGTTATAAGGCAGTGTGGATGGGTATAAGGCAGTGTGGATGGGTATAAGGACTGGCATAAATCATTAGTGGGATAAGTATTGGTGAGCGGGGTAGCCGCAAGCGGTGGGTGAGGAAGCTGCGGCAACTGTATCAGGAGAGCGACAAACTGGCAACCACAGGCAATTACCGCAGGCGGAAATACGTGTCCGCAGCGGGCGGCTCTTCCCTTGGGTCTCTGCTAAGGGGTGACGCCGCGTTTGGCAACACTGTCTCTCATTCCTGTGTGTGTGTGTGTGGCTGCTTTTAAGGTCGATGCTTGGTAACACTGTCTCTTGGTACTCTGGTTCTGGTACAGTGCTTAGCTTGGTATCACTGTCTTGTAATGTTCAGGTATCATCACTATATATGACTAAGCATTGGTATGGTTGTAACACTACGTGTATTATCACTGTATAGCGGTGTTGTAGTTGGTATAGAAGTGGTATTTACTGTGTATAGATGTGATATGGTTGTTATAAGTGGTATTATAGATGTGGTATGATTATTATAAGTGGTATTATAGATGTGGTATGAATCTGATACGTATTTGGGTATCAGTATGCAAATGGCTTGAGTTTGGTAACACTTCCTGAAGGTGTTCTCTTGCAAACTCTGTAGGCTTCAGAGTCTAAATTACTAGCAATAAGATATTATAACGGCCTTAATTTCTTAGAAATGATTGTTTCCGTACGTTATACAGATATATTTATGAAGGGGTCACATTGTCGTGGCTGGAACAGATCACAAATAACCCGCTGATTCAAGTAGGAACTTTTATAGCTTTTTTCTGTCCTGGATCAAGTCATATTAACTGATAACGATAATAGTACAATACAGAATAAAATGTTGTTTAAAGCTAGCTCTCACACACAGGACCTAGTAGTGATTAGTGAAAAGGTGGGGCCAGGAGCTATGACTCGACCCCTGCCACAACAAATGGGCGAGTACACACACACAACTAACACACTCACGCTCTTATGTAATATATCATGTAGGTACACCACCTCAGTCTCAGTGGCTTCAGAAGACCACTAAGGTTAAGTAAACACATACCTTACTAGGAGACCTGATGGATATTACTGCGCACTGAACCGTACCAAATGGAGGAGCCAGAACCAGTGTTCTCTTTTTTCGTAGAATGGAGACGTGCGAGGTCCCTACAGGAAGTACGTGTATGCTCAGGTCTTAATCCCTAATACTCCACCTTCCCCGAGCGAGAGGGACATCACTCCTAGTGCTGGTAATCTTATTTTGCCTCTTACCCGAGACGCCGGTTTCCAGTATATTTGCTTCTCTTATTTCTGTTGCCCTTTCTTCCTTTTATATTTGAAGGCTTTGTTTTCCTCTTGAATATATATAATGTAAATGTACAATGGATCATTTAAAAACTCTAGTTCTGAGTTTATTTTTTTCCATAATGTGTCGGAATATAATTATACATACCTAACAGAACGGCTGTAATTACTCTTTAAGATTTCCTCCGCGCAGTGTCAGTTGTAATCCTAGTTCTCTCTCGTAATGAGTTACCATAGTCTACCTCAACCCTTATGTAGTATCTTAGGCTATCCTCACCTGTAATGTGTGCAGGCTACCTCATCTCTCATACCCTTTCAAGAGGTCATCCCTTGATTGCCGGTGAAAGGCGCCTGATACAAGAAATTGGAACTACCTTCAAATTTCTTGGATCAAATTTGATTACCTCTCAGAAGCTGACTTATTTCTATTGGTTTAGCGCTTACCTATTAACATCTGTTTCTCTGTTATAAACACCAAGCAAAATGTGTGCAGGTAACTAGAAAGTTGAATTAAAAAAAATGGGATCTCGTTATGCAGTGGTGATAATGTGTTGCTTCTCAAATGGAAGAAAAATTAATTTCCATGAATGTTTTTCAGCAGGTAATTAACACTTGATTATCATCAGACATGGTCAGACTTGATTATATTCAGAGGTGTAAAGAAAACACAGGTTGTCTGAATAATACAATAGATTCTTATAAAACATATTAATATATAAGTATATCACATTGAGCACTCACTGCTTTAATAAAAAATAATGTAACTTAAAAACAATATTTTTATATTTTTATTCATGAGTAATGAAACATGAGTTATGGTGACTAGTTAGTGCGTCGACAGATCAGTCTTTTGGAAGAAAAAAAATGGGATGCTGCCCTGTGTATAAAAAAAAACTAAAAAGAATGGACTGCTGATGACCCCCATCCCCCCAAAAAACATAAAAACGGTAAGTGAAAATGCTTGTGGGTGAGCTGAAAAAAATGTTGGAGTGGCAAAGTGGGATGTTTGGTGTTCATGAGTAAGATGTATGTTGATAATCTATATACACAGGTTGAAAAAGGAAACATACAGTGCACCGGAAACAGGAAAAAAAATGAAGAGAATCTGGCTTGCATGAACAGTGAGATATTGATACGTTATTTAAAAAAATGCAAAATAGACTACCAGTCCACCACAATTATATATTAAAAGAAAACTGCTAATTGCTTGGTGATTGACCTATTAATGTTTGGTTTAGGAACATAAATGGTTGATTAACTTCATGGAAACTGAAGACAACTATTAGGCGTCTTCCACACACACACACACAACATATATATATATATATATATATATATATATATATATATATATATTATATATATTATATATATATATATATATATATATATATATATATATATATATATATATATATATATATATATATATATATATATATATATATATATATATTATATATATATATATATATTATATATATATACACACTATATTTTGCTGTTTTTTAATAGAATAATAAATTCAGTAAGACAGAATTTTCACTTCAATTGTATAACCAAGTAAAATCTCAGCATTTGTAGACACTCATAAAACAAAAATTTGTGTAACAAATTTGGAATGGTTTACCAATACAACTGTGTTTTTTTCGTTTTTAATGTCAGGGTAATAGAAAACAGAAATATTTCTGGTAACATTTAGCTGGTCACCAATGTTTTAATATGTTAAAAACTTGATAACCTGATATGGTAACAGATCAAAATGTTGCCCCAGTGAAAGCTTGTTCTGCAAACTGTCATTTTTCTTCTAATTTTTATATATAAAGGCAATGCATAAAAATGAAATAATTCACATCTTAAGAAAAATAAATCTTGTTAACTATTTTTCAACAGCTGGTAGTATGAGCTATCAACACAACAGTTTTGTGGGTGTTTTCATACTAATAACATTATAAAACTTAAAAATTTATACATAATTTTAAGTTATCAATAAAAAATACCATTTGGAATTAAATAAAAAGCAGGTTCACCTCCTAGCCTAGGCACTGTGAATAATTTTATATTACGAAGTACACTCGCTGCTTTGTGGAGCTCGCATCACTAGCTGCTGGGAAATACTGGTCTTGTGTGAGGATTGAGGGAAAGGGGAGGGGGGACTTATGGAAATGTAAACAATATATCCTTATCCTTGTAATATGAAGCCAGGAATGACAATTAAGCTATACACTGGCTAAATAACTGGACGCTGATATGTAACAATATTAAGATATTACTCTTCCTGAGGCGTGAGCTTGACTCGCAAGTCTTCCATTTAAAAAGAAAAAAAAAAAGATATATAACACCTTAAAGGGAAATAAATGTTGAAAATATATCCTTGGCGTGTTTCTCAACTTAAAATTAATGTTTGTTTCTTGAAACCTTTGATGTGTGTTACGCTCACCTCAAGCTCAGGCAGAGTTTACATAGTGGTGACTTCAGTGGTTAATGAACGTGTGAATGTAAGACCAACAGGTAGGTGTGTGCGTGTATGTATGTATGTGTGTTACATTTATGTACATACACACCACCTGGGTGTGTACGATGACATAGATGATGCACAGCTGTGGAAAGAGTATGTGAACGTCTGCAGATAACTATGATCATATTTGTGTGAGACAATAACTAGGTGAAGCTTGTGTATTTACAATAGTCCTTTGTGTAACATACACAAGAATGTTTTGTGAAATAGCATTAGTTGTGTTTTTGTGTTGCATGGCAATATAACTAACAGGTGATACAAGTGAGAAATTAGCGTGTGCTCGGACGTGAGGACTAGATTGCACCTTCAGACAACATGACACAAACTACTGTGTGAGAGTTCTCATATACACAACCTCCTGTACACTACCTCCACACCTCTCATCCATCTCTTCAGGACTTATAAAAATTTTGTCTTATTGTGTAACGTCTTGAGACATAAACTCTCAGTGACAATTTTCTGGGTTATTTCTCTTAATAAAAAATCACTTCTAAAACCTCGTGCAAAACCACCTTGGATGTCTTATTAAATTTCCTGGTCCGTTATACACTCCCTTCATTCCATATTTCCCTGAACATATTATAGTTTTGTTTCATTAGTTTCTCGTAATCTTTTAAAAAGTAGTCATCCTGGAAGCCTTATAAACTTCCTGGCTGCTGCATCTAGCAATCACATTCTCCTTGAAATCTCACAACCTTCCTGGATGCATTGGCAAATTTTCTGGGTTCTTTTTCCAGATCTGAAAATTTTCTGACCTTAAAAGGTATATACAGCATCTTTATTTTAGACGTTTCTTAAAAAAAAAAAAAAAAAAAAAAGTCTTCAGTGATTCAAAGAATGTTTTTTTTTTTCAAATCCTGAAAAAATGCAAGTTTTTCTCAGAATTTGGGAACTCATTTCGTTTCTCTAGTCATTGGTATGTTTGGAGTAAGTTTTTGCATTCCCTCGTCAAATTTCCCTCTATAATGTCCCACACTGCTCTCTCAAGATTCACTACATAATTGAAAACGGGGAGGCTGGTGTATTTACACACATTCACAATAAGCAAGTGTCATTGTATAAGCAGTAGAGTCCTCGCACTCTGAGGTGTGGAAGCCATACCTACGTGTGCCACCAGGTCCGTGTCTTAACGTTCTTAACCCAGCAGGTTGCAAGTGGCGCTTTGCACTTTCCTATTTTAACTTCAGACAATTTAAGCAAACATAATTTTCATGAATATTGTTAATGAATTTTCAAGTTTGCAATCAAAACTTTTCAGCGAATAAGCAAGGTGTATGTTTATAAAGTACAATTTTGCGAGGAACAAAAGATAAGTAGAGTAGACCATAGAGTAAATTTATTGCTAAGACCCCTAAATGTCTCAACCGACTGTGTTCCACTCAACCCCAACCCCACTTTCAGACATCTGAACTTTATTCCATACACTTCCACTGTCCCTCATTTAGCACATTACAAGTCTGACCAAGTCCTACTTAGCAACACTGGTGAGTCTTTAATTATAAGAGGATATTTCCGATGACCTTCCTATGTCGTTAATTTATATATATGTTTATCAATGAAGGTTGAACAACCTGTAGTTCACTGTAAACCTGACTTCCACGTGCCACAACACGAGCAAACTTACCCACCAAGTCACTCTTACCAATGAGTCTTTTAAGACCTATAAAATCACTATTTCCTTACCATTAATATTCAGTTCATGTATTCCACTACTCCCTGTTCAGCACCCATGGGCCAACTCAGTACTGCCACAGAAGGGAGACACTATATCCAGAGTAGCAGTGTGGTTGGGGGCAACACCTGAGCCAGCCACTACACCTGAGATCAAACACAACTGAGCACTATAGTTGTACACACCTGGTGGCAGCTGCTCTTGACATTCACGGTCCTCTAATAAACCGTGATGGATGGACTAGTGGCTAAAGTAGTCAGGACTGTTACTCTAAGACTTACTAAACAAATATGTCCACTAGAGGACCACCAGAGGACGACTAGGATGCTGTTTGATGTCCCTTTTCAGTGCTTAAACTAACTGTGATCTATGTGAGGTTCTCGTAGAGCGGTTCTGCTTCTGGTGGGTTCCTCGGGTGGAGGTGGTGATGATGGGTCTGCCGCCTGCCTCTCCGTCCGGGCACTCGGTGTTGCCCTCGATCCACCGAGAAGTATATTCTGAACCTGTCAGTGCGGGAGGGAAGAGGTGGTAGACCCCGCTCTTGGGGGGTCGGAGGACGTCCACGACGCATTCCACCCACGTAGTAGACGCTCTCATAGTCAGACCCTGGGGAGGAGGTGCGGGGTGGGGCACTGGCGCAGTAGTAGCGAGAGTGGGCCGGGGACATGCTCGGGGTATCGTTATCGCTGGGATCCCCGAGGACCCCCATGGGTGCTAGGGGCTCTTCCTCGCTGTCAGTATCCACCAGGGTGGTAGAGGCTCTCACGCTCCTTGGGTGTGGGGGTCGCAGGAGAGCCCGACCATCTTGCCCTGCTGCATCACTGGTACTATAGCTGCAGGTCTCACTCCCTGTGGGGGTGGGGCAACAAGCTCAATTGAATCTCAGCATCTACTTCTATAAACACCATGGTAATGTGACATGTGTGGACTAAGACCAATGCTAACAGGCTCACAACTAACTTACAAACTGGAAAAGAAACTAGACTATGTCTTAGTCTGACCTGGACCATTAACACGTTATTAGTTAATTGATAACTGTCCAGAGTGGCATGAAGTCATTTAGTTTCCATTCCAATTTCCAGTTAGTTGTGAAATTTTCCAGCCACATAATACATCATACAGGTTTTATATAAATATATGGCTTTGCACTAAAATTATGTACCTTGACAACTGTACATATTGGTTACAAGCAAGATATTTTGCACACTGTGAGAGTATTATAAGACTGGGAGGCACGAGTTACCTAGTTAGACCCACCTGAGGAGATGCTCTGGTAGAGGTGCTCTGACGGGGGATTGCTACGGGGTTCTGGGGTGTACAAATGTACACCCATGGTCATCCCCATCATTTCCTCCCCGTCGATAGGGACGGGCTTGAAGCGTTGGCGTGTACGGGCGGGCACGATAGTGGGGGCAGAGGGTAAGTCGTCATATATAATGGCTCCGCTCAGCTCTGTACACCCCTTGGGTGTCCGCCCGCGGCCTCGTAGTCTGTTGAAGAGAATTTTATTGTCAACATTATTGGAGTTACCTTTCCCTTGCTTAGATCAATCCTAATTACCTTCCATTCTCCAGCAGCTGTATAACCCTATGGGCTTAGAGCTTTGCCCTGAATATATATTAATGATGATAACCCTAATATTATATACACGCCACATTGTATGGCTACCTTGAGCTATGACATTTTACTAAATTACGTTTTCCCAATATACTCATCACGCAGGATGATTTTCCTGTCATAGTCCTACACTGGTTGAATTTCACATACTGGTATATGTAATGAAATGTGTCAGCTTAAGTAAAGACACTTCAGTAAAGTGATGAGGATATCAAGCAGTATGCTATGACAGATTTTAAGATTTACAAGGCATAAGAGCATTGTATAACCTTTTCCTGGATTAAAATCCCCTTTGTCGTGGCATGCAACTTCCCCTCCTTGAAGGGGGGGGGGTCAAGAAACTGAAATCACCCATGCCGCCTTCTTTGGATCAAATCTGAGTACCTTCCATTCCTCAGGCTATTTTGACCCTTAAGGTTTTAATGCTTCCACATAATAATAGTTTTCAGCCAGTTAAAATTACAAACACTGAGAAATGTCAGGACTTAATGCAGTCAAACCCATGAAGAATAAGAGTTGGATAGTCACTGTATATTCACGTTACTCGACCGCCATAATTGGGTTGAGGCACTTTGGGGAGTTGAGCAGAGCCCTGCACCACTTGCATGTTCACTCTGTTTACTTCATACCGGAATTAATTATTCAAACGAAATTACAAGATCTAACTGAGCATAATACTTTCGAAATATAAGGCTGGAATGATTACAGTTTCTCATGTTCAATAAGCACTACATTAAAATTCTCGAGAATGAAATTACTTAACGCCACAAAACGTGAAATCGCAATAAGCGGGAATATTACAAGGCCGTAAGACGTTGATAATCCCATGAACGGCACAGTCAGTAACATTAGGAAACCTGATACCATGTAGTTAATCCAGATTGGGCTGGGTGAGGAACGGACCGACGTACGTGAAGGAATGTACTGTGCTAAACATTATTACAATCCAGTTAAGAACACATTTCTTTTTGGTGTGCATTCAAGGCCAGATTGTGTACACCATCATGACGTTAGAATGGGGAGACCACTACCATCATGATACTGGCTTGTGCTCATGACTGGATGAGAACACTCTTATTATGATGATAGCCTTTGTTTAAGAACAGGCTGAAAACACTTCTAATATAATGTTAGCGTGTGTTCAATAGCGAGTTGAGAACAATTCTGTCATGATGGCGTGTGTTCATGGGCAGGTTGAGAATATTACTACCATGGTGCTGGCGTGTACTCAGGGGCCAGTTAATTATTATACATGAACTCAAGTAGGGAATATACCATAAATATTCTTTCTTTATAATCTTTATTTAGATATCCTGAAGTGAATTATTTATTCTATTAAAATAAATTCAATTACACCATAAATAAAAACGATAAAATATAAATAATAAAACTAAATAATATATATTGTAGCATCAATACAAATTTCACAATCATAAAAGATATTTATAGTTTATATGACAACATTAACCCGACTTTTATCGTACATATTCCAATGTTTCTTTTTAAGAGCCATAATAACTATGGCCAATGTGTTTTATAAGGCTAATGTTAATAAGCCAAATCCAGTTTTCTACTTTTGGAAGTGTGACCATGATCTCTCCCCTATTGTGTCCAAATATAATCTCTAATTTGCATCCTTTGTTCTTCAAGGTTTCTTGTTTAGTGAAGAACTCTTGAGCCAGTGGATCTGAACTATCCTTTTCATGACTCAAACCTGATTACGTATCTCCTAAAAACTGTAGTATGAAGTGGTGTTCTCGCCTTTTCAAGACATTTTCTCATGTGCCGCTTAAATGGTTTGACTTTGAAACTGTTTTCCAAAACACAAATGTTAAAATAATAAAATATTAGATACGTGTATTCTTGACAACAAATGTACGTGTTGCCATGAATTCACCTCAAAAACTTGCCAGTCCAACCAGGAAGCTGTGCTACACTGACCACTATGCTATCGCACACCAAGTTTAAAGTGACCGAATCCGGAGTCCCTCCAGGTATCAGTACTCTCATATCCAAACATGGATCATATTTCTTATTGTCCAACATAAAACCAAGTGGAATATATTTGGCCCATATTGTAACTCATTTCTACCCACTGCTAGTGCCTTCCAGTACCCTTAAATAACTTTTGTACAACCTCCATGTTTCAAGGCAACATGGGAATACAGTACAAGAATGTAAACTATATTTACAAAGCACGCACCTCTAGTATAACAGCGAAATTTCTTTCTATTTCGAATTCTACTCTTGTTGCGCGCCGGTAAGGCAAGCTCTTCCTTGGAATCTTTGCTAGTGTATATGTTTTATTAATTCCTAAAGTGCATACTCCATACATTGCACGAAGAGCGCTAAATTTCAGAAAAATATAGAACGCGTAAGATATTAAGGATAATATAGCATGATTGTGTAGGAAGCAGCAATTGCGTGCACACATGAGGCAGCCAGACCCCAGGCCAGCAGCGGCCATAATCCTCGCGTGTGGTAGTGGCGGCCAGGAATGTCAACAAACTCAAGGCTCGCCAAGCTGAGCTCCACCACCTTCCTGCTGACACTGTTATCACTTATTTCACCTGTTCACCTGGTCTTCCTCTTCAACTCAGCCAGATACTCTTCTGAAACTAGTGTAAACTATTACCTGCACATACTTGGTCACCCAAACCAGTTACTTTCGTCTTTCACCTAGACTCGCTTGTCTTCTTCACCTAGTCTAGCATTTGTGATTCACTTACCAGTGAGATTCAGCCTTATCAAATGATATAACTATTCTGCTCATATGGTCAGTAACACACACATAATTACTTAGTTCTTTGGGTTGGCGGCTCCATTCGATTTTTTTTTTTTTTACAAAATAGTTCCTAGTCTCATAATCTGTCTGCACAACTGTTGGTTTACATGTTTGCTTGCTGATAGTTACATGACCTCATCATTCTAGCTATTTCTACTATCTCCTTTTATTTTATCTCTTATATTGTATTTTCTGGAATGGCTCATGTTGAACTCGCTAAATAAAAACTCTGGATCTTAACTCGTTGCAATGTCACCCTATAGTGTTTCTTGTATATCTATATATGTTGCTTAAAACTAAATAAAAGCCTCACTTCAGTTAGGCTTTAGAATATATGCATGTTGGTTTTACAGGCGTTATAATCTAACTTCTGCATTTATTTTATAAGCTAAGTTCTCGTATCTAACGTTAGCCAATTCATTCATTCATTCATTAGAGATTCGCCGGGAAGACCCGGGCCGGAAGTACCGGCGAATCTCTAATGAATGATTGAATGAATGAATTGGCTAACGTTGGATACGAGAACTTAGCTTATAAAATAAATGCAGAAGTTAGATTATAACGCCTGTAAAACCAACATGCATATAAAAACATTGAACATTCGGCGAGTTGTCTTGCTCGCTGGAGTTATTGAGAAGGGTACATAGGTTGCCTGTCATGTGGTGTAATAGCTGATAAAACTGTCCACAAAGTTGTAAAGGAGAAAATCTAGATTGAACCCTGCCCTTGGGCATTAGTGAGACCACCGCCATCTTCCCAGTTTTTAAGAGTTTGCTTTAATGATGGATTCATCTTGGCTGGGTCGAGTCTACAAATGGGTCGTTCTGCACGGTCATTTATCCTATTCAAGTCTGATATGGAGAAGGGCGCCAATATCATGGACCTGAGGGTATTTTTGCATAAGTAAATGTTAGAGTGTAGCCAACAGATATCCATGATGAATGGTACCACCATATTACCATATTCTTTTTTTTTTTTTTCGTAGATGGGCTGGTTTAAGAAAGCTTGCTCTCACGTTTCTCTGTGCTTGGGAATCTAATCCGGGACCCTGCTATTATTATTTGAATGTTCATACTAGTGAGCTACACAGCACCACTAAGCCAGCATAATATATAAAAAATATAACCATGCAGACAAAAATGTAATAACAATTGAGGTTAATGTCTTATCAATGTCCAGGAGTTATTGAGGCCGCAATTTACAATTATACTAACTTCGAGAACGTTAAATTTCCTAGACTGGGATTAAACTCAGTGTTTATATATAATGATGACAACACAGCTTCTGGTGTATACCCGATGGTGGATCAAACCTGACTGTCTCCCAGTTCGTAAGCATTATGACCATTACGTGTTTGAAGCTTTTTCCGTAAAAATAACTGTACATCTTAAGGACATGATCAGTCGTATTATTAAGCAGCGATAACATAAATGTAGTTACCAAGTAGTTATAACAACCATTGTTACCTGGAATTGTTATAACCAGTTATAATTACCATTGTAACGAGGAATTTATAAGTGTTACTAGGCAGTCATGCCATAACCGCAGTATTACCAAGCATTTATAACCACATTGTTACTAAACATTCATAACTGCAGTGTTATCAGGCATTCATAACTGCAGTGTTACCTGGCATTAATAACCGCAGTGTTACTAGTCATTCATAACCGCAGTGTTACTAGGCATTCATAACTGCAGTGTTACTACCACTTGTGTCGAAACGCTAAATGTCTTGAAATGTGCATGTCTGTCTACATACAGTCAAACAATAATTGCAGTGGTAAAAGACATTCATAACTGTAGTGTTACCGGCAGTCTTAACGTAACTGCAATGTTACCCGGCAATGATGACAACCGCAGTGTTACTCTGTAAGCAGCCACCCAAACAACAGTTACCACTAAAGTGCTGAGCATAATAGCAACATCTTGCCCGTGTTGACCGGGCGTGTAGTCGTTCCCTCCATCACCCCCAGGACGTAACTGCCATGCACAACTATCACGCAGATTTCGCCCAATTGCCGACTAGAATTGGCGTCATGGCCCAAGTTCGCACATCCCCAGGGATATAATGCGAGTGAAGTTGTTGCT